CCTCCACCTCCTCCTCTTCACTAGGCCCGGTCTCATCAGGGGAATCCCTCCCAGGGCCTCCCCTGGATCAGGCATGGTTCCTGGGCCAAGCTAGCAGGCAAGGCCCAGGCTTGAAAATGCTGGTTCTCAGGGAGAGCTCCTTCAGTGTGTCCTCCTCCTTCTCCCACTGACCCCCAATGTAAGGGACATTCTTCCCACTGACCACCAATGTAAGGGACATTCTTCCCACTGACCCCCAATGTAATGGACATTCTTCCCACTGATCACCGATGTAAGGGACATTCTTCCCACTGACCACCAATGTAAGGGACATTCTTCCCACTGACCCCCAATGTAAGGGACATTCTTCCCACTGATCACCAATGTAAGGGACATTCTTCCCACTGACCCCCAATGTAAGGGACATTCTTCCCACTGACCCACCAATGTAAGGGACATTCTTCCCACTGACCACCAATGTAAGGGACATTCTTCCCACTGATCACCAATGTAAGGGACATTCTTCCCACTGACCCCCAATGTAAGGGACATTCTTCCCACTGACCCCCAATGTAAGGGACATTCTTCCCACTGATCACCAATGTAAGGGACATTCTTCCCACTGACCCCCAATGTAAGGGACATTCTTCCCACTGACCCACCAATGTAAGGGACATTCTTCCCACTGACCCCCAATGTAAGGGACATTCTTCCCCACTGATCACCAATGTAAGGGACATTCTTCCCACTGACCACCAATGGAAGGGACATTCTCACTGACCACCAATGTAAGGAGGATTCTTCTCATTGGTCACTAATGGAAGGTGCATGCTCCCGTTCTGATCCTGCCAGTGACACGCTCCCGGCTTTCTCCTCTCTCTGTGTGAGTGGGGTAGGAAAGAGAGCGACGCGCTCCCGATGTTTGGTGGTGTTGAGGATGGCTCCGATCTCTCTTCACCCACCTCCATGGAATCACCGCCAAACAGAATGCTTCACACTGGAACTCCTGAGCTCTGGGAAAGGGGAAGGGGGGTATATGGAATTGGGGTGCACAATAAGGGCATGGAGGGACTGGAGGTGCACAACGTTGGGGGGGGGGGTTGTATGGAGTTGGGGGACACAATATGGGGATGAAGGGAGTGGGGATGCAAAATGAGGGGGGGATGGAGGTATAGAATGGGTGGTGCTCACTAAAAAAGTGCATGGAGTGGATGAGAAAGTCGGGACATGGGGTGGTGCAGGTAAGGCACAGGTTCTGCTACTATGTATGAGAGAGAAAAAGTATGTGAACCCCTTGGAATTAACTTGTTTTGCAGTAATTTGAATTCCTTGCGTCTTTAGTGAACACACCCCTTAACCCCTCGCCTGCCGGGCACTTCTACCCCCTTCCTGCCTGCCGGGCACTTCTACCCCCTTCCTGCCTACCGGGCACTTCTACCCCCTTCCTGCCTGCCGGGCACTTCTACCCCTTTCCTGCCTACCGGGCACTTCTACCCCCTTCCTGCCTACTGGGCACTTCTACCCCCTTCCTGCCCAGGCCGATCAGCTGTTGCAGTTTGAATGACAATTGCACGGTCATGCGACACTGTACCCAGATGAAATTTGTATAATTTTTTTCACACACATACAGCTTTCCTTTGATGGTATTTAATCCCCGCTGGGTGTTTTATTTTTTGCGCTCTACAAAAAAAGAAGCAAAAAAAAGAAAAAAGAATTTTTCTTTTGTTTCTATTATAAAATTTTGCAAACAGGTAATTTTTCTTCTTCACTGATGTGCACTGATAGGCATCACTGATGAGGTGGCATGGATAGGCTGCACTGATGGGCATCACTGATGAGGTGGCATGGATAGGCTGCATTGATGGGCACTGGTAGCGGCACTGATGAGGTGGCATGGATAGGCTGCACTGATGGGCACTGATAGGCATCACTGATGAGGTGGCATGGATAGGCTGCACTGATGGGCACTGATAGGCATCACTGATGAGGTGGCATGGATAGGCTGCACTGATGGGCACTGATAGGCATCACTGATGAGGTGGCATGGATAGGCTGCACTGATGGGCACTGATAGGCATCACTGATGAGGTGGCATGGATAGGCTGCACTGATGGGCACTGATAGGCATCACTGATGAGGTGGCATGGATAGGCTGCACTGATGGGCACTGATAGGCATCACTGATGAGGTGGCATGGATAGGCTGCACTGATGGGCACTGGTAGCGGCACTGATGAGTGGCACTGACTGGTGGCAAACGAAAGTGCGCCAAACCATGCCATTTGCGCATTATCTCTTCATTTCTACAGGAATAACAACGCGCCACAAAATGCCCAATGTGAGCTCCCAATAAAGCCTCCAGAACTTGTTTGAGCTTCTGGCGGACTTGCAGAGGAGATGAGAACCGTCTCCATTGAGAATAATTGATTTGGTTTTTTTTTCTCCTCAAGCATTTAGGAGCTTTGAGCTGCAGAACGTTCAGGTGTGAATGGAGCCTCAGGGCCTGGACTGGTTGCCATCATCGAGGGGGAGATATGAGTTCCCAAGTTTACCAAAATATCTCAGAAGATCAGGGGTGGACTGACCATTCGAACACTCGGGCACTGCCTGAGGGCCCAGGGTCAGTAGGGGGCCCCATGAAATGCCCCTGGTACCTTTCATAGACTTTTTTGGGGGTGTGGTTTGAGTGTGGGCGAGGACAAAAGGGCCCCATGATTTCCTATTGCTTGGGGGCCCCATGAAATGCCCCCTTCTGATAGACTTTTTTGGATGTGGTTTCAGTGTGGGCAAGGACAAAGGGGCCCCATGATTTCCTATTGCTTGGGGGCCCCATGAGTTTTCAGTCCGCCCCTGCACAGGATAATGTCAGGCTGGGTGTCCGCCAGATGAAGCTCAGGAGAAGTCAGCTGAAGCGGCGGGACGATGAATCTACGCATCGAAGTAAATCCACCACAAAAAAAAAAATGCTCTTCTTTTTTTTTTTTAATTTAAATTTTACGTTTAATTTTCTAATTTAACTGAAGCGATTTTTAGGAGTGAAATCGACCGTTTCGGTTTCATCGAAAAAAAATTCACCGCCGGCAAAATGAGTTTTTTTTCTCTGCTCATCCCTAATTGTAAGGTTTGTGGCCCCGTTTTTTATTTTCCATCAATATAGTATCAATCTAGCGGCCGTAGAGCGCCATCGCGTGGAGGAGACATGATAAGGCAATCGAATGAATAGGAAGCGTAATTATCTTTGTGACATTTGAAGACGAACTTCAAGCGCGCTGACACTTAAAAGTCGACCCAGCAGCAGCGGCGGCTCATTAAATCCACCTTTGAAAAAAAAATATGTAAAATAGCTGTTTTTTTTTTTTTTAATGGGAAGTGACCCTCCTGCCTTCACTTCCTTAGCTTTGAAGTGTATAGGATGCCCAAGACAGGAAGGGGGGGGGGGGAGGGGGTGAAGTGATCGGGGGGGGGGGGGGGGGAGGGGGTTAAGTGATCGGGGGGGGGGTCACAAAAATGAAAGTGTGAAAGTGGCGACTTCATCAAGCGCGATATCGGATATCCAGCAGCCGGCTGATGTTACTTAATATTTATAGAGTGTTTATACTTTTATGTATCAGGCTCACTCCTCATCTGTACCGCGCAGGAGCATGCTCGCTTGTTAGCGTGGAAAGTAGCGCTCGGTCGCATGCATGATGTAATACGCCTGAAGCCTAGGTTCACACCTGTGCAGGTTGCGTTTTTGTGCATTCTGTATTGCGTTTCGCATTTTTGCCGTGTTTTTGATGCATTTTGCGTTTTTTTTTTCACACTTTTTAAAAAATTTTCCTTGTTGCTAGGAAGATTTTAAATGCAAAATGCATCAAAAACACAATACATGCTGAAATACATTCTGCATTGCGTTTTGCATTTTTACCGCGTTTTTGATGCATTTTGCATTTTTTAAAAAAATTTTTCCTTGTTGCTAGTAAGATATTAAATGCAAAACGCATCAAAAACGCAATACACGCTGCAATACAGTCTGCTTTGCGTTTTGCATTTTTTGTCGCATTTTGCGGTTTTTTTTTCATTCTGCATTGCGTTTTGCATTTTTTGCTGCCCTTTTTGATGCATTTTGCATTTTTTTTTTTTCCACATTTTAAAAAATTTTCCTTGTTGCTAGGAAGATATTAAATGCAAAACGCATCAAAAATGCAATACACGCTGCAATACAGTCTGCTTTGCGTTTTGCATTTTTGCGGGGTTTTTTTTTTCATTCTGCATTGCGTTTTGCATTTTTACACTGGCGTTTTTGCCATGTTTTTTATGTATTTTGCGTTTTTTTTTTTTCATTTTTTAAAAATTTTCCTTGTTGCTAGGAAGATTTGAAATGCAAAACGCATCAAAAACGCACTACATGCCTTTCTGCACGGTTCCCATTGAAGTCTATAGAACTAAAAACACTGCGTTTTTCATTTTTAAAAAAAAAGTCTCGGACCCTTTCCAAAAAAAAAACGCAGCGGGTGAAAACTCGGAGATGTGAGCGCGTCCCATTGGAAATCGTGTTAAATGAACTGTACTGTGTTTCTGCAAAATGCGGTGGAAAACCGAGGGTGAAGCTGTGGTGAAGCTGAGCTCAGCTATTTTCATCAATAGCCACCAAATGCCATTGCAAATCCAAATATTACTTTGTAAAAGTAGCGGTGACATCCTCACTGCGCTGTGCGTATCAGAAAACAGGAGCCCGGAAGGTCGCAACCCACTACAGAAAATGACAGGAGGGGGCGGAGACAAGACCAGTTACATTGCACTAGGAGAAAGAGAGCACAGAATTGTGGGAGGGACTCAGCAGGCCACACCCACTACAGAAAATGATAGGAGGGAGCGGCGACAAGACCAGTCACTCTGAACGAAGAGAGAGAGCAGAGCTCCTCCCCTTCTGTTTTGTACAGGGTGTAGCGGCTCCTCCCTTCAGGTCTTGCACAGGTCTTGCACAGGTGTAGCGGCTCCTCCCCTCCAGTCTTGCACAGGTGTACCGGCTCCTCCCTTTCAGTCTTGCACAGGTGTAGCGGCTCCTCCCCTCCAGTCTTGCACAGGTGTACCGGCTCCTCCCCTCCAGTCTTGCACAGGTGTAGCGGCTCCTCCCTTTCAGTCTTGCACAGGTGTACCGGCTCCTCCCCTTCAGTCTTGCACAGGTGTACCGGCTCCTCCCCTTCAATCTTGCACAGGTGTACCGGCTCCTCCCCTTCAATCTTGCACAGGTGTACCGGCTCCTCCCTTTCAGTCTTGCACAGATGTACCGGCTCCTCCCCTTCAGTCTTGCACAGGTGTAGCGGCTCCTCCCTTTCAGTCTTGCACAGGTGTGCCGGCTCCTCCCCTTCAATCTTGCACAGGTGTACCGGCTCCTCCCCTTCAATCTTGCACAGGTGTACCGGCTCCTCCCTTTCAGTCTTGCACAGGTGTACCGGCTCCTCCCTTTCAGTCTTGCACAGGTGTAGCGGCTCCTCCCCTTCAGTCTTGCACAGGTGTACCGGCTCCTCCCCTTCAGTCTTGCACAGGTGTACCGGCTCCTCCCCTTCAGTCTTGCACAGGTGTATCGGCTCCTCCCCTTCAGTCTTGCACAGGTGTACCGGCTCCTCCCCTTCAATCTTGCACAGGTGTACCGGCTCCTCCCCTTCAATCTTGCACAGGTGTACCGGCTCCTCCCTTTCAGTCTTGCACAGGTGTACCGGCTCCTCCCCTTCAGTCTTGCACAGGTGTAGCGGCTCCTCCCTTTCAGTCTTGCACAGGTGTACCGGCTCCTCCCCTTCAATCTTGCACAGGTGTACCGGCTCCTCCCCTTCAAGATTGCACAGGTGTACCGGCTCCTCCCTTTCAGTCTTGCACAGGTGTACCGGCTCCTCCCTTTCAGTCTTGCACAGGTGTAGCGGCTCCTCCCCTTCAGTCTTGCACAGGTGTACCGGCTCCTCCCCTTCAGTCTTGCACAGGTGTACCGGCTCCTCCCCTTCAGTCTTGCGCAGGTGTACCGGCTCCTCCCCTTCAGTCTTGCACAGGTGTATCGGCTCCTCCCCTTCAGTCTTGCGCAGGTGTACCGGCTCCTCCCCTTCAGTCTTGCACAGGTGTACTTGCTCCTTCTTATCTAATGGGTTTAGTTCCTTTGCTCCTCAGCTCCACCTAGCGGCCATAATGCAGTATTTTCCACACTGAGGTACTTTAGGAAATGACTCTGTTATGGCCACTATAAGGGGGATCTCTAATGTGATGAGGGGGCTTTGTCTCAGACTGTGTAGGGTCTAGGGGGGTGTGGGGGGGGGGGTTGTGGATTGTGTGGTGTCAGCTGTGGTGTCAGTGGTCGGTGTTCGGATGGAGAAGCGGGAGTCTAATGAAAGTACCCAAGTGCAGTCGGGGTCGGTTCCATTACAATGGAGGACCTCTGATGTGATGGAGGACTGAGATATGAAGGGGGGACCTTTGATGTGATGGGAGAGATCTGATGTGATGGGGGGGGGACCTGTGATGTGATTGGGGGGGGGACCTGTGATGTGATGGGGGGGGGACCTGTGATGTGATGGGGGGACCTCTGATGTGATGGGGGGGACCTCTGATGTGATGGGGGGGACACTGATGTGATGGGAGACCTCTGATGTGATCGGGGCGGGGGGACACTGATGGGGGACCTCTAATGTGATGGGGGACACTGATGTGATGGGGAACCTCTGATGTGATCGGAGGGGGCGGGCAGGGGGTGACACTGATGTGATGGGAGACCTCTGATGTGATGGGGGGGGACGACACTGATGTGATGGGGGGACCTCTGATGTGATAGGGGACCTCTGATGTGATTGGGGGGGGGGACGACACTGATGTGATGGGGGGACCTCTGATGTGATAGGGGACCTCTGATGTGATGGGGGGGGGGCGACACTGATGTGTTGGGGGGACCTCTGATGTGATAGGGGACCTCTGATGTGATTGGGGGGGGACACACTCATGTGATGGGGGACCTCTGATGTGATGGGGGACCTCTGATGTGATGGGGGACCTCTGACGTGATCGGGGGGGGGGGCACTGATGTGATGGGGGACACTGATGTGATGGGGGACCTCTGATGTGATCGGGGGGGGATGACGACACTGATGTGATGGGAGACCTCTGATGTGATCGGGGGAGGGGGATGGGGGGACCTCTGATGTCATGTGGGACACTGATGTGATAGGGGACCTCTGATGTGATTGGGGGGGGGCACTCATGTGATAGGGGACCTCTGATGTGATGGGGGACCTCTGACGTGATCGGGGGGGGATGACGACACTGATGTGATGGGAGACCTCTGATGTGATCGGGGGAGGGGGATGGGGGGACCTCTGATGTCATGTGGGACACTGATGTGATAGGGGACCTCTGATGTGATTGGGGGGGGGGGCACTCATGTGATAGGGGACCTCTGATGTGATGGGGGACCTCTGACGTGATCGGGGGGGGGGACGGACACTGATGTGATGGGAGACCTCTGATGTGATGGGGGACCTCTGACGCGATCGGGGGGGGGGGGGGGGGGGGGGCGGACACTGATGTGATGGGAGACCTCTGATGTGATGGGGACACTGATGTGATGGGGGACCTCTGATGTGATTGGGGGGGACACATGTGATGGGGGACCTCTGATGTGATCGGGGACGACGACACTGATGTGATGGGGGACACTGATGTGATGGGAGACCTCTGATGTGATGGGAGGAGCTCTGATATGAGGGGGTGGGGCTCTGATGTGATGTGGGTGGAGCTTGTACAAGGTGATACAACTTATAAAGTGTGGTCAGCCTCCATTACACGGAGTGCGAGTCCTGGCGGGGGAGGGGGAGTTCCGGGTCTCTGATATTCTGAACTCTTTATCATGTCATTTTGTGGTGAGTTCCCCTTTATGAAGCAGACGGGGTTCCGGTGACATGCGCAGTCACTTCAGGGGGACAGATCTACATGGGGAGACAGATCTTTCCGCTACAGGGGGCGTAACATGGGGGGGACACCAACATGGGGGGGGTCAGTGACATAAGGGGGGCATGACATGCGGAGGACATTGACCTGTGGGGGGGGGGGGGGGGGGATAACATGGGGAGGACAGTGACATGAGGGGGGGCCTGACATGGGGAGGACAGTGACGTGTGGGAGTCTGTGACATGGGGAGGACAGTGACATGTGGGGGTCTGTGACATGGGGGGGGCCATAACATGGGGGGCAGTGACATGAGGGAGCATGACATGCGGAGGACAGCAACTTGTGGGGGGCCAGTGACATGAGGGGGGGGGACTGACATGGGAGGACAGTGACATGAGGGGTGGGGAATGACATGGGGAAGACACGGACATGTGGGGGTGTTCAGTGGCATGGGGGGGGGGGCCATAACATGTGGGGGGACAGTGACATGTAGGGGGGAGGACAGGGGGGGGGCTGACATGGGGAGGACAGTGACATGTGGTAGGGTCAGTGACATGGGGGGACAGGGACATGGGGGGGACAGGAACATGTGGTGGGGCCAGTGACATGGGGGGTCAGTGACATGTGGTGGGGTCAGTGACATGGGGGGGCATGACATGCGGAGGGACAGTGACATGTGGGGGGACAGTGACATGAGGGAAGGGGGGGGGTCAGTGACATGAGGGGGGGGGCCTGACATGGGGAAGACAGTGACATGTGGGAAGGGGGGGGGTCAGTGACATGAGGGGGGGGGCCTGACATGGGGAGGACAGTGACATGTGGGGGGGGGGGTCAGTGACATGTGGGGGGACAGTGACATGAGGGGGAGCCTGACATGGGGAGGACAGTGACATGGGGGGGGTCAGTGACATGGGGGAGGACAGTGACATGGGGGGGTCAGTGACATGGGGAGGACAGTGACATGTGGGGGGGTCAGTGACATGGGGAGGACAGTGACATGTGGGGGGGGGGTCAGTGACATGGCGAGGACAGTGACATTTGGGGGGGAGTGACAGGAGGGGGGTCAGTGACATGGGGAGGACAGTGACATTGGGGGGGGGCCATGACATGGGGAGGACAGTGACATGGGGGGCAGTTATGTGGGGGGGGGCTGACATGGGGAGGACAGTGACATGGGTTGGCAGTTATGTGGGGGGGGGGCTGACATGGGGAGGACAGTGACGTGGGGGGGGGGGCTGACGTGGGGAGGACAGTGACATGGGGGGGCTGACGTGGGGAGGACAGTGACGTGGAGGGGGGGCTGACGTGGGGAGGACAGTGACGTGGGGGGGGGGCTGACGTGGGGGGGACAGTGACGTGGGGGAGGGCTGACATGAGGAGGACAGTGACGTGGGGCAGGGCTGACATGAGGAGGACAGTGACGTGGGAGGGGGGCTGACATGGGGAGGACAGTGACGTGGGGGGGGGCTGACATGGGGAGGACAGTGACGTGGGGGGGGGGGCTGACATGGGGAGGACAGTGACGTGGGGGGGGGGCTGACATGGGGGAGGACAGTGACGTGGGGGGGGGCTGACATGAGGAGGACAGTGACGTGGGGGGGGGGGCTGACATGGGGAGGACAGTGACGTGGGGGGGCTGACATGAGGAGGACAGTGACGTGGGGGGGGGGGGGCTGACATGAGGAGGATAATGACGTGGGGGGGGGGGGCTGACATGGGGGAGGACAGTGACGTGGGGGGGGCTGACATGGGGAGGACAGGGGGGGGGGGACTGACATGGGGAGGACAGTGACATGAGGAGAACAGAGACGTGGGGGGGCTGACATGGGGAGGGCTGACATGGGGAGGACAGTGATGTGGGGGGGGCTGACATGAGGAGGACAGAGACGTGGGGGGGGGTGACATGGGGAGGACAGTGACGTGGGGGGGGCTGACATGAGGAGGACAGTGACGTGGGGGCTGACATGAGGAGGACAGTGACGTGGGGGGGGGGGGGGGCTGACATGAGGAGGACAGTGACGTGGGGGGGCTGACATGGGGAGGACAGTGACGTGGGGGGGGGCTGACATGGGGAGGACAGTGACGTGGGGGCTGACATGGGGAGGACAGTGACATGGGGGGGGCTGACATGAGGAGGACAGTGACGTGGGGGGGGCTGACATGAGGAGGACAGAGACGTGGGGGGGCTGACATGGGGAGGGCTGACATGGGGAGGACAGTGACGTGGGGCTGACATGGGGAGGACAGTGACGTGGGGGGGGGGGGCTGACATGGGAAGGACAGTGACGTGGGGGGGGGGGCTGACATGGGGAGGACAGTGACGTGGGGGGGTGACATGGGGAGGACAGTGACGTGGGGGGGGGGGGGTGACATGGGGAGGACAGTGACGTGGGGGGGGGCTGGCATGGGGAGGACAGTGACGTGGGGGGGGGGGCTGACATGAGGAGGACAGTGACGTGGGGGGGGGGCTGACATGGCGAGAACAGTGACGTGGGGGGGCTGACATGAGGAGGACAGTGACGTGGGGGGGGGCTGACATGAGGAGGACAGTGACGTGGGGGGGGGGGGGTGACATGGGGAGGACAGTGACGTGGGGGGGGGCTGGCATGGGGAGGACAGTGACGTGGGGGGGGGGGGGCTGACATGAGGAGGACAGTGACGGGGGGGCTGGGGGGGGGGCTGACATGAGGACAGTGACGTGGGGGCTGACATGAGGAGGACAGTGACGTGGGGGGGGGGGCTGACATGAGGAGGACAGTGACGTGGGGGGGGGCTGACATGAGGAGGACAGTGACGTGGGGGGGCTGACATGGGGAGGACAGTGACGTGGGGGCTGACATGGGGAGGACAGTGACATGAGGAGGACAGTGACGTGGGGGGGGGGGGGCTGACATGGGGAGGACAGTGACATGAGGAGGACAGTGACGTGGGGGGGGGGCTGACATGGGGAGGGCAGTGACGTGGGGGGGGCTGACATGGGGAGGACAGCGACGTGGGGGGGCTGACATGGGGAGGACAGTGACATGGGGGGGGCTGACATGGGGAGGGAAGTGACGTGGGGGGGCTGACATGGGGAGGACAGTGACGTGGGGGGGGGCTGACATGGGGAGGACAGTGACGTGGGGGGGGGGGGCTGACACGGGGAGGACAGTGACGTGGGGGGGGGCTGACATGGGGAGGACAGTGACGTG